GCTGCCTGCCTCGACAGCAGAAGGTCCCGAGTTTGATCCCCGGTACAAAAAAAAAAGAAATCAACCAGTAACAAATGCTGGTGGGGCTGTGGGGAAAAAGGAACCTTTCTCCACTGTTGGTGGGAGTGCAGACTGGTACAGCCACTGTGGAAATCAGTGTGGAGATACCTCAAAGAACTAGGATTAGAGGTCCCATTTGACCCAGCTATTCCACTTCTGGGTATGTTCCCTAAGAGTTAAAAGCATCACACCACAGTGATATATGTGCACACATATTCACAGCAGCACAGTTTGTGATAGCTAAATCTTGGCAACAGCCCAAGTGCCCATCAACTGGTGATTGGATAAAGATAATGTGGTTTTTATTATAAAATGGAGTACTACTCAGCCATAAAGAAAGACAAACTAGAGACATTTATAGCTAAATAGATGCACCTTGAGCCCATACTCTTAAGTGAAATAAATAGGACACAGGTGTATAAATACTGAAGTTTCTCTGGTGTGAGACAATAAAAGTATAAATGAGGACCAAAATGTATAATAGATAATGTGAAATAGGAAAAAAATGTTCAAAGGGGAAAGGAAACTGAGGGGGTGGGGCAGGAGAAAGGAAAGTGGAAAGAAAAAAATGAGAAAAGGAAAAAACAAACAAAACTTATGTAAACAGGGAAGGGTTGGAGGGGTTGACGGGAGAGAGGATGGTAAAAAATGCAGGTGCAAATTCCCAATGATGAATGTGATCACAATGTATCCCTAAAATGTACCAATCAACTTCATTAAAAACCACATGGCATGGGGCTGGGGATTTAGCTCAGTGGTTCCGTCGCCTGCCTTGCAAATACGAGGTTCTGAGTTCAATTCCCGGTACCAAAAAAAACAAACAAAAAGACCCCACCACATGGCAGCCACGAAAGGCAGTGAATCAGTGCACAGAGCACCTTGCAAAGGGTATCAGCTCTGCTCTCAGCAGGTCCCACACCTGGTTCTTGGCTCTGCGCAGAGCTCAAGGGTCTCTGTCTAGTCCTTTCAGCCAACCTTACAGCCCTCTCCAGGAAAAGCCTTAGCAGAGACTGCTCTGCCCAGCTCTGCTCGGGGGGTCTTCCCACACTGGAACTGTCCTCCCGACACCCCACTGTCAGTCTTCAGCCCAGTGGGCAGTGGGGTCCCCACTCTGAACCTGCATTCACCCTACTCTCCCCACACACCACACTCTGAGACAATCGGAGGGCTGCTCTCCTGCACCCTCCAGCCACGTGCCCGCACCCCTCATTTCCTGCTTTCTGGGCTGCTCTGCTCTGGGAACCTTGGTGGACAAAGCTTGTTTCACAGCAGCACGCCAGGGCAGGAGAAGCTGATGGCACGCCCACGTCAGCAGCGCATCGCATCGCACAGTGGTGTGTGCCACTGACAGGACCCAGCCACCATGAGCCCATCAGATCAACCAGAAAGCTCCGGATGCCCCCAACCAGCTGCGACCTCTCCCCAGTATTCACTTAAAGACAGTCTGACTTAGTGAGCAGCCTTCACAGTGCCATCCCCCTTCTGTACCCGGTGAACATGCTACATAAGAAGTGTGGTTTTACCCACTGGACACAGCCACAGGCAGGCACAGGAACAGGGCCCACTTTTTTTTGGTACCAGGGATTGAACTCTGGACCTTGCGCTTGTGAGGCAGGCGTGGTACCACTGAGCTAAATCCCCAGTCCAGGGCCTACTTTTCTAATAAACTCAATTCCAGTTTTGCATGTTGAACAGTCTGGGACAACAGGAGATTCTAACTGTTTTATTTACGTTTGGCTACTGGATATTCTGGCATCCTGTTGATCAAAATGTGACAAGCTGGGCCGGGGATTTAGCTCAGTGGTTTCACCGCCTGCTGCACAAGCGCAAGGACCCAAGTTCGATCCCCGGTATCAAAAAAAAAAAAAGTGACAAGCTTATGTGACCTTTTCAAAGTATAAACGAGCATTAGAGTTGCTTTTTTTTTTTTTTTTTAAAAAGAGTTGCTTATTTTCATTTATATACTATAGTCAGTTTACTACCATGGCAACAAGAACAACAATAACAACACCCCAAGCATTTCTGCCCATTCACCTTCCTAGAACACTTCACTAGTCTCAGGTACCAGACCCTCTCCTCTAAGAGAGCATCCTGAATTCTTTGGGTGGGAAATGAAAACGGCAAGCCAGGCAAACCTTCTACCTTCCGATGCCAGGTGACTGGCCAGGTAGACCTGTGAGGACACCTCCACTCCCAGACAGCAGTCCCAGGACACCTGTGCCTCCAGTGAGTCCCAGTCTCATTGGCTCTGCAGACTTGGCCAGGACCAAGGACTTGCAGAACCACTTGTTTTGGGGTTTTTTTGGTACCAAGGATCGAACTCAGGTCCTTGCGCTAGAACCACTTGTTTTATGGGAAAGCTAGGGTGTTCATGTGTGCTGACCCCTACGAGTGCCCATGTGCAAGGGGACTCACTGACCACACAGAAATGGGCCCTGTACCTACTCTTCCCAAAGCCACCTAAGCATTGGCTACAGCCCAGAACAGCATCTTCCCCACACCAAATGAATACATGATTTAGTATTTTCAATGAAATGACAAACGACACTTACGACCTAAAGTACTGTGCTTCCTAGTCTTCTAAATTCTTTGTGAATTTTTAATACGAACTACAAAATATAAATTAATTTTAAAGTTGAAATCGGAATAAAATCATGGTGATTTAAATAAAAGACCAAACAGGGTTATCATGTTTTTCTATTCTACAGTGATTTTCAACTTAACAAGTAAATCTGAAACAAACATTAAGAATATTTCGACCTCTGAATAATTGCTCCAAACTATCTCTTAAACTTAACTAAAAAACCTTATAACATTAACCTAACAACTAAGCTGAAATTCAAGGAAAAAGACTTTTCAAATAATTCTTCAGGGCGGGCAAGGTAGTATACATCTGTAATCCTAGCACTCAGGAGGCTGAGGCAGTAGGATCACCTCAAGTTTGAGATCAGCTTAGGCACAGTGAGTTCAAGGCCAGAATGAACTACATAGCAAGACCTTATCTCAAAAAAACAAACAGACTAATGATAATAATAATAATAATAATAATTCCTCAGCCTCATACACAGGCACACAGCTCTAATCCCAGCTACTTAGGAGGCTGAGGCAGGAAGATCACAAATTCCAAGCCCAGCCTGGGCAACTCAGCAAGAATATGCCTCAAAATAAAAAATAAAAAAAGGGCTGCCGATGTAGCTCAGTAGCCCTGGATTCAATCCCCAGTAGTCAAAAAACAAACCAAAACCCTGCATTCCACTAGTAACAACTATCTTTAGTTTATTCCCTTACCTGATGTTTACCTTGCAAATGCTGCCTTAAAGGGAGCATCTTGGACAGCAGCTCCTAGGCCCAGAGCCAGGCCCACCCCACGCTACTCATCTCTACCCTCACAGTTGGAGCTCTGCTCCCTTGCTGAAAGATCAGTTTACTTCCATGCTCAGTATGCCAGCATGTGTAGACGTCAATACAAGTTACTGAAGAGTAAGAGAATTGTTTAAAAAATCCTTAAATCCTCAAAGTAAGTATGTAATTTCCTTTGCTATGACATCAACATTTTTGTAACAAAACAAACACAAAAACAAAAACAAAAACTGCCGGACTAAGAAGTAGCTGTTAGTGGTTCCATACTGGGTTTTGGCACACCCCCTCCCCCAAACAGTAAGAAAAGACATATTCCAGAGGCTGAGGCAGGAGGAGCACAGTGAGAGGCCAGCCTGGGCTACATAGCTGAGTTCAAAGCCAGCCTGATCTAGATAGTGAGATCCTGTCTCAAAAAACAACAACCACCCAAAAAAAGGAAGGAAGGAAGGGCTGCTATTAAGGATTAAGGAGTAAGCCAGTAAACCTTCCCAAAGCGACCTAAGCACGCTGTGCACTCACACCCACACCCAAGGAACTTTAAACAGCCCAGCTCTTACCAGCATCTCCAATAATGGAAAGTAGTTAAAATTCCCAGTTTCAGGACAAAGGCTGTACTAGCAAAGATCCACAAATGAGCCCCTGAGGAATAATTAGCATTTCCTAGAGAGCAAGTTTGTTTTCTGAGCAGAGAAAATGATAACTTCGTCAAACCATAGAACCAAGCTTGTTTTGCAGCTATGACTGACACTCCCCTATGAGACTTGCTCAACACTCCACATGACCCTGTAATAATTTCTAAAGAACCGACTGCCGTTTTAAAGAAAGTTCTGTTGAAAGCATCCAGTTTTCCCAAAATTCTGCGTCTGAGAACATGGGCTTAAAAATGCTGGGAGCTTTTCCTTTTTAGTCGACCAAAAACACAGAGAAAAAAAAAGCTCCGGTGGCTAGCACACTGCCCTCTGGGAATATCTGTTGCTGAAAACGTGTCAACACTCAGGAAGGCACTTGCCTTTTGGCCAGTTCTTCACTGCACACAATTAACCGTTCCCTTGCGGGTGAAGAGCGACACACGCAAACTCCCAGGAAGTACAGAACCCTGATTAAGTGCACAGGTGAAGGCCCTGCGAGGAAGACCCGCGGGTGTGGGCAAGGATGTGGTGTGTCCTGCCTGGGGGTCGAAATCAACCTGCGCACGGGGTCGTGGGTGGGTTGGGAGGGTCGTGCGTGCGGGTCCAGGTTTCCCTGCCTGTCCGTGTGTAGGAACGACAAGGCTGGGGTGGGCTGCAGTGCTGGGGGATGTGGCCTGGGTCCTCCAGTGGTGGGTCGGGGTCCGCCGCAGATCTTCCTCTGCTCGTGGACAGTAGGTCCTGTTTGTGGGTCAGGGTCAGGATCTAGGGGTGGTGGTGGCGGATGCGGATCAGGGTCAGGATTCGATGGGTGGTGAGCGTGGACCGGGGTCGGGGTCGGGATGGAATCTGGTGGTGGTGGTGGGTGCGGATCGGGGTCGAGGACCGGGTCGGGGTCTGGCGGCGGGTCCAGGTCGGCCCCCGTCCAGGCCGCAGCCCCCACACACCACTCACACGCGCGGCAGCTGCAGAGGGGGCGCCCCGCGCCGTTGGAACACGCCGTCCACGAACACGCCGTTCTTGCCGAGGCAGCGCAGGTAGAAGTCGCCGCCCGTGTCGGGCCGGGGCTGCGCGGGCTCCGGGGCCGCCGCGCCATGGCCGCCGCCCGGGGGCGTGAATATCTCCAGGTGGCGCCGAGAGATGAAGCTCGAGTGGCCCATGCTCACGTCCACCGAGCCCTGCGACGAGTTGCGCCCAATGGTCACCGAGCGCTTCTTCATGAGGTACTCGAACTCGCGGCCCTCGAGCCGCGCCACGGCCCAGCCGCCCGGCGGGG